TTGCCTATTGAGGTTCAGATCCCCTCTTTGAGAATTATGAAGGATGCAGGTTTGAATGAGGACGATTGGATCCAGACTCGACTTGATCAACTAAACTTAATTGATGAAAAGAGACTTACTGCTGTTTGCCATGGTCAGATGTATCAAAAACGGATGATCAAGGCTTTCAACAAGAAAGTTAGACGCCAGGTATATCAAGTTGGAGATCTAGTGATCAAACGCATTATCTTACCACAAAGTGATCCCAGGGGAAAATGGAGTCCTACCTATGAAGGACCATTTGTAATCAAGAATATCTTCTCCGGTGGGGCATAGTCAAAAGATATTATGCATAAGAGACCCGCTAGGTTGACACACCTAGGCAAAAAAAGGGCATCCCGGCGAACCAAAAGGTTCAGGCAAAAATTAGGGATAAAATATAAAAAAAATATGTACACCCGGCAAGTTGAAAACCCGAAAGGGCGACTTGGGCAAAAAAGGGTTTCCCGATGGACTGAAAACCCGAAAGGGTGGTCCAGGAAAAAGTTAGAGAATTAAAGCGTATGACTATGTCTCATCAGATCACTTTATGGAAAACCTCTTGACTTCCACTGACAAACTCGGAGTTTTTGATCAATTCAACCATTTTCGGACGAAGCAACAAATAGACAAGATGTTCGGAGACACGAAGACTATAGCAGAATGAGAACCCCATGGGATTATCACACATAGCTGTCTTTCTTTGTATAATTTTTTCTTACTTTTATGGCACCATCCTCTTACTAGGATGTCTGTCTCCTTTGTACAAAATACTTATTCAAAGTAAATACAAAGATATCTCTTTAAAGTACAAAAAACTATTTGCCTTTTTCTTTAGACTTGTGTTTTATTTGCATAAACGTCCTCCCTTTTATTTTCTGCTCCCTGACAGGATATCGATGACTCATCATTTTTGAAACTTTTGCATTCTCACGATTCTACGAGTCTCGCGCGTTGTTAGCAGCCTCTTTCTCCTTGTACTGGATGTACACATGTGCTTTGATCAGGAGGGAATCCAATGTTGCAAAAGTTTCTATGCCAACTGCTTTAGCAAAGTCACAACAAGGGCATAAGCCTCACTCGGGGAGATATTTCTTCATCCCATCTATTGTGGAAACCTTGACGACTTCCTGGTTGAACCTTTCAATATACGCTCGGAGGGACTCATCCTTCCCCTGGATGATGGCCTCCAATGCAGCTTTTGATTTGGGGTGTCGGTGAGATGCTGTGAAATTCCTGGATAATTGTCTCCCCAAACCCATCCAAGAAGTGATAGACTCACCGGGGAGGATCTTGTACCAATCCACGGCTCCCTTTATGAGCGTTGTCGGGAAGAGTCAGTATTTGATTGCTCCCTAGTATCCTCTGTAGTCGAGCAAAGCAAAGATGTTCTTGATGTGCTTGTATGGATCTTTTGTCCCATCGTATGCCTCCAGGTGTGGGGAATTCTCCATATTGTTAGGAAGAGGGGTCTCCATGATTTCTCTGGATAACGGGCCGTGGGGCTCGTCTTCTTCGTTGTGATCAAGATATGATGGTGGAGAGTAGTTATTTCTTCCTCGTCGGGGCTGCCATCTTGATGAGGAGATATGCTCCTTTGTTGGCGCTTCAGCTTGGGTGATGGTGAGTGTTCGTCATTTGGCCGTAGATTACCCTTTGTTTTCTTGGTGATCGGGGAGCGTCGATCTTTCCGGAGAGGGGTGCAACCTTGTTTCTTGAGAAATGAGATTTCTTGCTTCTCTTGTGTGGGACGACGGCCACACCTTGATGGTGAATGAATGCAGGAGTCATGTCGTCGGTATCTTTGATGAGGAGATCTTGACTGGCGCTTCTTCTCCCAAACTCCAATCCTGTTACTTTGTTGCAGGATTAAGGCATTGGTTTGGTTGAGGGCGGCAATGGTCGGATCAACATTGGGTGGGATTGTAACTTGTTGGAGGATCGTTGGAGGGGACTCAGTGGATTTCTTGGACTTCTGATTCTCCAAGAATTGAATTTTGTCATGATCTGCATCGACTGAGTCAGGGAATGCAGTTCGACCTTCTCTGGTGTCATGGATATGCTCGAGGTGAGGAGGCTCTTTGTTTCCGTCTGTCTTGCGAATAGGGGAAATGATGGTTTCTCCATAAAGATGGTTGTCGTCATGATCAACCATGATGAGAGTCTTTGGATGTCGCTTTGATATCCAGTTTCGAGGAAAGGAAGATGGGGAAGACAAGTTTCCCACAGACGAAACCACTAATATTAATGTTGATCATAACCTGAAAGTGGACCGAAAGATGACGACTGCTTGGCTGGAAAGTTGAGGAGAGTAAGGGGTGCACCTGCAAGACACTCTGACATTTAAGTAACAACGATTGCAAAGAGATACAACAATGAGATTAGGGTTTTTAGTTTGAATATTGGATACTTGGTCCTTACAAGTGTGAGGGTTTATATAATTTCTCTGGCGCTTGACCACCGGTTCCTATTTTTGGGCCTACAAATAAACCAGTTTCAAGCAAAACAACTCGTATCCTTCACCTTTTTCACGTTTGTTGGAGAGCTAAAGAAAATCTTATTATTATGCATAAACCAAATAGTCCACATCATTACATGTAAAATCATGGCAAAGCCTCCTCTAACCTTATCCATATATCCTAAGGATCTAAAGAGCATAAAAAGAATATGAAGATCCCTAGGTAGAGCACCCTAGACTCCCAACAACCTAAAAAATACTATACAAAACACCTGAAAATAAGCTATAAATAACAAACAGATGGGAAGCTAATTCAAGAAACTCCCAACACAAAATACAAGAGATGCCCTCTGAATTGATTATGACCTTTTACTAAAATAGATTCTATCTAGAATGGAACATATCATGAAAAAGCTTCCAAGAAAAACATTCACCTTAAAAGGATCCCAAATATCCTAAATAAGGGGGAGAGTTGTGACCTCCCTCCCAACATGGTTATTAGAAGAAGACACAAGATGCATTTGGAGAAGATAGGCAGAAGCCACAAAAAATGGTGTCTATATAAGGTCTCTAAACCCACCTACCACTTTCATCACTAAGATGAACCTAATGGAGAAGAGAGAAGAAGTCAGAGACCATAGGTTCCTCGTGAAAAAATAATCTCTTCCATCTAAGATCCCAGGAAACAAATCCACTTAATCCGCTTACCTATGTCACCCAATTTCGCGTCATGCACATGAGAAATAATGAAGAATTCATGAAACCTAATCTTAAGAGGTAAATTCTCAATTCAAGGATCACCCCAAAAGGAGGTATGGAGACCAAACCATACCTTCCTTACCAAGTCATCCTCAAACCAATTAGAAGAGGCATCTTTCTTAGACCCTAGAAGAGACTCACCTTTCCACTAAGAGGAAACAAAACGAGACCCCTAAAACCTACCACCACCTAAGGAATAGACAATAGATCCACCATATCGATCAGAAAAAATATCACATTCGGAGGCACCTAAGATTATCCTTCATCTCCATTTTACTAAAAGGCATAAGTTAGTCAGATGAATATCTCTAACTCCTAAACATCATTTCTTCTTCGACTTACACACATCCAACTACTTTACTAAGAAAATCTTACGGTCACCTTTCACCCCACCCTAAAAAAGCTTCCTCTAAATCCTAATTTTGATCTTCCACAATTTGATTGACATTCCTCTAAAGCTCTAGAATGCCCTTAACATAGTTAATATGTGATTTCTTCAATTCTTTATGTTTATCAACAACAAAAATATCTCAACCAACATTACATTAAATATAGTTTTAATGATCTAGCTCGCTAATGAACCACACTGTGATCAGATATATATATTTTTGAATTTTAATATTATTTTGGTTATGTTTTGGATTTTGGATGAGGTGAGAAGAGAGAGCTTCGAAAAATAAATTTTTAAAATAATATAATGAAATCTTTAATTTTTTTAATTTTTTTTTGTATAAAATAATAAAAGAGTTATTACTATTATTAACAAATTTTTAATTTTAAAAATACTATAACGACATAAATTATATTTGAACAATTTGTCTAAATCCTCCTAAACTCTCCCAACGCCTCCTCCAATACAAATTTTTAATTCTCCATAATAGAGAGATTTAAATTTTTAAATAAAAATAAATTCCTCAAAACCCTCTTCACTTAAATACTTCTATTCTTTTCACTCGATTCTTTCATTTATATTCATAACTCTCTCCTCACTTCTCCTCCAAACTCTAAGACACAAAGCCTCAAAAGTCTATAATAATAACATAGTATTTTTTCATTTATATTCATAACTCTCTCCTCACTTCTCCTCCAAACTCTAAGACACAAAGCCTCAAAAGTCTATAATAATAACATAATATTCTTTCATTTATATTCATAACTCTCTCCTCATTTCTCCTCCAAACTCTAAGACACAAAGCCTCAATAGTCTATAATAATAACAACATAGTTTAACCTATTCAAGAACTAAAATAACTATTTCCGATTGTGCAGCTTACTACTCCTTCCACTGAATGAATCAAAGCTGACTTGTCATCTTAGTGTCAATAATAATTTATATAACATTGAGATAGCATTCTACTTTCACTAACCATTCATTAATGAAGCCCACTTCACTCATTTTATATTTATATATTAGCACCCACTTCCCCTAGGATCTAAACCGGTAAACATATTAATGTATATATTTGTGTGGTGTGCATGTGTTTGTGCATATAATACAAACCGTAACATTACATGGCATTCTATTTTTTTTGTTCAATTAATTAAATAAATAAACACCAATGCATTGTTGTAAAGCAAAACCACAAGCCATAACATCATTAATTTAACGTGACTGCTTGGTCCACATACTGATTACTTCCAATTCCAACTCCTATAAATTCCATCTTGGAGGACACTAGTTTGGCATAACATTTCATAATACAGTTCACATCAGTCTAAGTAATTACTATAATTTATTCTTAGTCAAATATATAAAAATTATAACATGTCTTCAATTGGTGCACGTTCAGCTGAAATTTACGTTATGCAGAAGAGGCAGAAAGAAAAGATGAAAAAAATGGAAGAGGAAAGAGGAAGAATAGGTGAGGTCATGCGTGGTGATGATCAAAACAGAAAGGAAAGTTCTATTAATATTGGTAAGAACAAAGTGCATCCAGGGAGTGAACAAGGAGTTCCACTTAATTCAGCATAGTATTAATGGATATTAATTAACTTTGGGATAACTCAAGAACCTCTCACAAAAAAAATGGTTTCTACTTTTTATTATTTCTTTTGTTATACATGTTTTGTATGATCAAGTTTAAACGTTTGTTGTAGTAGGATCCCTAAACTAAGCCCCAAAAAAAGTAAAGCTTATTTAGTAAGAATGTAAAACTCATTTAATTACTATATGGAAGTGTGAAAATACTGTAACTTATGGCGTGGGTTCTCAGCTTGTAACTACTTCAACGGATGAAAGATGACTTTGTAATGAATTTGAATACTCAAAGTTCTACACTCTTTTATCACATATCAACTATAAATCGCACAATGACATATTATTTTTAATTCCTTTCTAGACTAAAATACTTGTTTGACCGGATCACAAGCATCACCTACACCATGCCCAACTATGAACCTTTTAATTGTCATACCATTTGATACACCATTAGACTTTCTGTGAACTCTCAGAGAAACTCGAGTTTTAATAGGTATCTAAAAGATCTTATATCATATATTTAGTTAAAATCTTAAAGTATTATATATGAGTCCTCTCTCACTACTGAAAATATATATAGTAACGGTATCAAAACCCATATAACGACGACAACACGTCGATTTTTAGGTAGCATGTGATTATATGTACGCTGTAATGTTAATTACCATAATGGAAGTGGGATCGTTGTTATAAATTAGATAATGCACTATATAGAATCACCGTTGTATTAAACAACTGTTGTTGTATGTCTTTTAATATAAGAAGAAGAAGAAGAGGAAGAAGAAGAAACGACAACAATAATTACAAAAATAAAACAACAATAATAACAACAACAATAACAAAACAACAATAATAATAATAACAACAACAACAATAACAAAAAATAACGAGGACAATAAAAACTAACATTGTTAACTTGAACCCCTATTTTCCTTGTCTCATTCAAGTTGGAGAAGAGATGACGGAGTTTTGAAATTTGTTAATGAAAGAAATGATATTTTTGAGTTTTATTTATGGTAGAAAGGATATTTTCGAGTTTTGTTTATCTAGAAATGATATTTTCGAGTTTTGTTTATAGTAGAAATGATATTTTCGAGTTTGGTTTAGTGGAGAAATATAGTGTCGTAAATGAAAGATGTTTGGAAGTAGAAGATAAAGTTCGTTTGAGTTAGAAGTTCGTCTAAATTTAAGATTTCACGCGGATCAATAATAGTAGTGTCTTGAGTGTTGAGAATCACTAAATGAACGGTCAAAATTTGTTTAAGGATGATGAAAAAACTCAATAAGCACACTCATATTTCTCCATGACCCTGAGTGACTTTTCACCACGGTTGAAAGTTTCAACCATTGTGAAAAGTGGCTTAAAAATATTTAAAAAAAAAAACAAAGTTTTAGGTGTTAGGATTCTAACCCACGATCCTGAGTGACTTTTCACCACAGTTGGAACTTTCAACTTTTGTTGTATATCTTACAATAAAATATAAAAAATGCAGCAGTAGAATACCAACAACAATAGTTAGATTCGAAATCATGACCATGCGCCACTTTTTACCACGATTTGAACTTTTCAACCGTAGTGAAAAGTGACTTAAAATTGAAAATAAATAAAAAAAACGTCCAAAAACGAGATATTTCTACAGTTAACGAGAATGGAGTTGTAATATTGTTTTACGAAAGATATTTTTCGTAGTAGTGTCTCTCTTACAAATTCAACATTTCTAACAATTCTAACGAATGTGGAAGATACTTACACTTGAATTCAAAAATATAGATCTCCCACACATGTGTATGTCACTAACGTACATTCATACTAGAATACCTAATGCAAGATTCGTATGATGCATAGATACATTTTACTTAACACAACATCTATATTTCCTAAGAACACTTCATTGTTCTAGCTTTAAAATCATTTTACTTAACACCACATTAAATAAAACTAAGATGACATCCTAAGAATAGCCTCAACAAATGAACCTAATGTGAGATTCATGGTACATATAGCATAATTTACTTATCATCATAAATATTTTACTTAACACAACATCAACAAAATCAACACTAAAAAGTAAAAACCTATTTTACTTAACACATGATACATATGGATTTTTGTCAACATCAACACTAAAAAGAAGAAAAAAAACATTTTTCATTTTTATCAACAAAATCAAAATAATAGAATAAGTAAAAAAACTTCCCTCAACATAATCTATAAGCAATGAGCGATTCACGCAACAAAAACTAACATTTCTAAGATACGTTAGTGAGTTATCTACGAAAAAATTGATGAAGAATATACGACAATGGTGGAGGAAGCTTCGTTGATGTTTGGTTATTTTTCCTTCGTTTCAAGCTTCGTCAGTGCATCAATGGAGTTATGGAGTTCATAGGGAGGAAACACATGTGTGTTGTAAGAGATGATGTTCAAACACTTATGCATGTTGGAAAAGATGAAGTTTTGAAAACAGTGATGAAATACGGTTTAGATGATAGGGCATTTAGATGAAGAAGATGAAGATGAAAATCGCCTAGGGTATGTTTTCTTAAAAGACCGTTCTGTTTCGTATGAAAATGAAGATGAAATGGGTGTTGAAAGTAAATAAATAGTTATAGTCTAGTTTTAGAAAATACATGTAAAAGAGATTTTCTATCGATTGGACAATCCAATTGAGGGAATATAAATTTAAAATTAAAAAAAAAAGTCAAAAACACCATAGTAAAATAGATAGCTAACATTTTTTCTCGGTTGCAATTACCGAGGGAATAGATAAATTATAAATTAAAAAATAAGAAAGACGCAAATTTAAAAAATATATAAAAATGCAAAAGGTGGATTTTGAGATTTGGTCCCTGTGCACATTTTTTTCTCAGGTTGATGTCTGAACCGAGAGAATAGATAAAGTATAAAAAAATAAGAAAGATTCCAATTGAAAAAAATATTAAAATACATATGCAAAAGGTGGATTTTGAGGCTTGGTCTCTGAGTCATATTACCTATTAGTTGGAAGTCTAAACTGAGGGAATATAAGATATCACAACTATAAAAAGTACATATAACGACACCACCTTTACTACGGTCTTTTAGAGAACTGTGGTAATATATATTTTCAGTTGCCCATATATTATTTTTTATTTTTAATTAGACGTAGCTGGATTGTTACCATGGTTGAACTACTCAACTGTAGTGATATGTCATATGTTTCACGAGTTCAATTTTCAGCGCCTTCTAATTCGTGATTTCTTATGTATTAAAGAGAAGCCTTTCATTTTTTGTTAATAAATGAAAAGAATATCACCACAACTTTTAAAGTTGGTCATTGTTATGTATTTTTCTAATTTTTTTAATTTTTAATTACGTAAAAACATGGCGTTTTTTTTTCTCTCTAAAATATCATTAAAGTAAATATTATATCACCACAGTATTTAAAGAAAATTGTTTTGATATATTTTTCAATTATTTTTAATATTTTTAAATTCTTAATACTTGACACTTTTTTATTAAATTTTATCAAATATCACAACGGGTTTTATTAAAAATCGTGGTGATATGATCTATTTACTTTAACGAAACAAAGTTATCTAACACGTCTCTTCAGTTCCATATTTTCATTTACATCATGAAACAATGCCATTTCAACCCTAACAAAATATACGACATTACAACCCTAAACCAAAAAACACCATTGCAGCCCTAACGAAACATCACAATTGCAATCCTAACGAAACAAAACCATTTCAACCCTAACAAAACAACACTATCTTTCATATTTTCATTTCCATCACGAAACCACACATTTTTATGTGCTTTCGTATCGTCGAGGAAGGAGCTGACTTCTATTCTTTGTTCTTCTATCCTTCGGTTTAACTGTCAATGGGGAACTCAGAGAAGGAGCCAACACCATTTTTTTACTTATTCATCATGTTTCCGGTAATTAAACATTTTCCCCTTGCATATACAATGTTGTCATTTTCTATTGAGTTTTTATTTATGTCGATGCCATTGTTATTTATGTATTTGTTGTTGTTGATGCTAATGTGTTGATGATGCCATTGTTGTTGTTGTTGTTGATGCCATTGTTGTTTGTGTATTATTGTTGTTGATGATTCTTCACATGCTTATACATTTATTGTTGTTTTTGATGCTATTGTGTTGATGATGCCACTGTTGTTGATGATGTCATTGTGTTGATGATGCTATTGTGAGTTACGTTTATATTCTGATGTTGATTATCTAGCGGTAAAAAGTTGAGACTAAGTCATGATTGACTTAACTCACAAAGTGAAAGTCGCCACCACACTTTATTTTTTCCAAATGAAATGGGAAAAAAGCGAATAAAACCAAAAATAAAATAGAGATCAAGGTAAAGGGATTGATTATGCAAAGGTAAGGTATTAACATCCTAAACATCTACGGTACTCCGCATGAACCTCTTTGAAAATTTGTGTATTTGGCTAAAAAGAAATATTTGCAAAAGATTGTGGAGAAGAGAAAAGAAGTGGTTTTTTTACAATTTTTGATTTGACAAAGCTTCCAATGAGCTATGGGCCTACATACCAACAATGTGCAATGTTGAAATTAAAACCCATGTAGTTTGGGTAAAAAAGTTTGAAGGTTAGTGTGTTGGTTAATTTTAAAAGAAAAGGTTTTAAAGTGAATAGCAAAAGCGGCAAAATGGTTTGAATTTGTTTTTGTATTTTTTAAAGTATTAAAGAAAGATGTTATATCTTAATTAAGAAAATATTTTTGAAAAAATCATGGACCTAAGTCCAAGTTTATTGTGAAAGCGGTTCGAGTTTGAAAAGAAGAATCCTCTGAAAAAGGGACAAGGTTTTAAAAATTAAAGATGAATGGGAGAAGATGAAGAGACTATCCTAAATCACAAAGTAAAAGCTAAGGTGAGGAGGGTCTGTCAAAACAAGAAGCCAACACTTGACATAATGAAGTTAATATAGCATTCTCGTCCTTTAGATTAAAGCCACACATAAATAATAGA